GCGCTGATGCACACGATGCAAAGAATCTTGTGACTGTGCATGCGCCTTTGCCTTGCGCGGAATTAAGAGTTCTTTGCACTATCCGTTAACCGCGTTTCAGCAATGTCGCCTCTCACGCTGTGTTCATGCTTCGCGACTCGAGCGATCTCTAAATCTCGCGGGTGCGATCCCCTAATAGCTGGTGCTGTAATTTTCAATGGTTCATCCGATTTCTAATCTGATCATATTAACAAGAAAACTTCCAAGCCGTTCAACTGCTCATCGATGACAGGTGAAGCGGGGTGGCTTACAGTCACGTGCTACAGGAATCACTATTGTTGCGAAGCATCAACGAGGCTTTAGCTTGCTTGACTGCAGTAAATGCAGTTTTTGGGGCATTTCGCTGGTGCATTTCCTAGTCTTGACCATGACCTCGTCATCAACTCACTACCAGCAAACTAATAATTTACTTTGAGCTTTTCCAACTCATATTGTGAATTTTCAAAGTTTCTGCGGATTATACGTCTGTTATGTAATTGGTGTTTAGGTCCAGTTTTGATACGAAAGCCGATTCCAGCTGGTATGCCTATAGCGCAAGCTTTAAGTGCGGCCACAAATGGCGGACTGGTTCGAAAGTTTGTGCCTCGTGGAACTATTACCAGGCCAGCAACCACTCGCGAAGTATTGTAAGTATACCGTGCATTGTTTTTTGAATTCTTTTTTTCGAGTGATTGTCAGTGAAACCGTATCGTTCGCTTCACCAAATCGAAGTGTTCTTTAGGTTTTATATATCTTTATTTGACCCACCATCAACTGCATTTTCGCTTCATGGACCCTTTCACCATCAATAGTTCCATTAAATGTATAGCATTTCCAGATCCCGTGGCGGCGCATCATCGTCGGGTCAAGTGCAGTATCGCAGTTCAGCACAATACTACGCTAAAAGCTCTTCCCCTGGTGCGTCAGTTCCATACAGCACGCAAGGCGCATCTCGTGGAGGGACGTTGACGAGGGGAGGGATTCGCGGAGGTTTCTTTTCAATTTCTCGAATGACCGGTGTGGAATGTGCACATTTTTGCCTTTCAGGGTATTCTGTTCGACCTGCTGCAGCTTACTCAACATCACGTTCTAACGCTTCGTCTTGGAGTGGGAATAAAACTGGTGCTCCATCGTACGTGGAGTTCTCAGAACCTGGTGGAAATACATCTGGACAGGTAAATGACCACCCTTTTTTTCTCGCTCGATTTATTCTAGTGTTCCTTCAAGAGTTGAACCAAATAAAGTTTCATTCTCCAATAATTCTCCAATTTTAAGCCGAATTTTCGCGAACCTGATGCGGTATTTGAACACCACAATGCTTCTTCACAGAAACTTACACAACAGGTTCGGCCTTAGCATAGGGTCCCTAAACTTCATGACTTCCGTTTCGGCTGCAATTTCTTGTTTTAGTACTCTACTTCATCTCGTCCAGCAGGCGTAAGACCTGGGGAAGTTGTGCGTCGGCCTCATCCTGCCTTGGTCCACTCATCTTCTGCAACTCTACAGCAACACAAAGCAACAACAGAGGAGCTGCCAGTGTGGGTGCAGCTGTGGCATCCTGTTGGTGCCTTAGACATTTAACGTCACGAAAAAATGCTTCGTCCCGAGTACGCCGGTGCCCACCACATAGACGCCCCACTGAACGTAAGTTCGCAGTCTCTTTACTGTTTTACTGTAGTCATTTCCTTTGCTAACCTGCGAAACATCCCCAAGAAACATTGGTTTTTAAAATGAAAAAAAAAAAAAAAAAAAAAAAAAGTTCAAATTTTTTTTTTCCCAAAGTCTTCGGTGCCTGGCCACCAAACGCGCAACCGTTCAAAACCATACTCGAAATCACAAAAAGCCAAAGACGAAATGAAGCTAGCTCACCAGTCAGCTACTGAAAAGCGCTCCGAAATCGATGAAGATGTTCGTTCTGCTTCACTTGGCGCTGAAATGATGTCCACATTGTCTGCGAGATAGTATTTCAGGAAGAGATATTGGCTACGCAAGAGAGCCTATGCGACTAATATCAGCCAAGCTCCCGCTCTGGTGTCGCCCCATCGAACCCGTATATGTTGTAGAAAAACGGCTTACACTAGTAGCGGTGGCAACCGCCTGATGTGAAGATTAGCATTCCAGCATATGTATGTTTCCCTTTTTCAGTGTCTTCTCTGTCCTTAATGAACATTTGTGTTCTAGCTAATCGATAATGGTTCCATATCTGCCCTACAACTGGAAGCCGTTATTTATGCCTGTCAAATGCATCAGCAAAGACTTCCCAGCGGAGAGCGGATAGGATATTTAATAGGTATGAAACAGTTATGTGTCTTGCCTTCGCCGGCACTTCAGCGAAGTTTTAATTATTTTTAAGGCGATGGAGCTGGCGTTGGAAAGGGGCGAACCGTGGCAGCGATAATTTTCGAGAACTACCTGCTTGGTCGAAAACGGTCTATATGGTTGTCTGTATCTTCCGATTTAAAGTACGATGCTGAAAGAGATTTGCGAGACATAGGAGCCGGAAATATCATGGTAAGGGCAACCATAACTAGTTTCTGGAAACACTATTAAACAAATCGGGTTTCCTGTTTCTAGTGAGACGTTTTGTTTTAATGTCAGTCAGAATACGCCCTTTATGGTACGAAATCCTATTAACATTGCTGTCAAGTTAATCTGAAACGGTTTCACATTTTCATTCTTTCTTTCATGGAATGCCGCCCTCATACCTTGCTACCCTGGTAGGAGAGTTGGAGAGCCGCAGACTTGGGAGAATCGAACAAGCTGCGAAAAAAAGTCGAGTATCCGTATCGGCCTGAAGGGCCAATGAAGTCGCGAGAAAGGTTAAAGACGCATCGACTGAACCCCGACATCCTGATTCTTCACTTGGGTGTAGTCAGTCGATACGTATCTTTTTTCACTTCTCCGATTCTCCGATCAAGCACTGTCGCAAGGTCTGAACGCTGCCATCGGTTCAAACAAATCAATTTTTCACATAGTGTCTGTAGTCTAATAACTATTGTTTTTCTTTTCAGGTGTATGCTTTGAATAAGCTGAAGTATGCCAAAATTTCCGGCAAAGAGAATGGAAATATCAAGAAAGGCGTAATATTTGCCACTTACTCTTCTCTTATCGGTGAATGCAGGGGAGCTAGAGTCAAGTATCGAAGTCGTCTGAAGCAGCTGATTCAGTGGTTTGGCGTGGTAAGTGTTCTCGAATGATTTTGAAAGTACTGTAGTGCTACACGCAAAGTGATGCTGAACGCTTAGCATATTTTTTTGTCAGGACTACGACGGTGTGATTATTTCTGGACGAATGTCATCGTGCAAAAAATTTGGTGCCCAGCACGGGTGCAAAGCCAACAAAAACAGGTCGAATGGTTCTTGAGCTGCAAAAAGCTTTGCCTAACGCACGAGTCGTTTATGCTTCGGCCACAGGAGCAACCGGTGGGTTTCTGTGATTACATTCTTTTCTTGTTTTGTCTCTTTCTGTGATAAGCATTTAAAACGTCACACCGTCTGCATTAATATGTAAATATTTAGAGCCACGTAATATGGCATACATGACACGGCTGGGACTGTGGGGGACAGGGCAGGCCTTTCCAGAGTTCATCAATTTTATTAATGCCGTCGAGCGAAGAGGTGTTGGTGCCATGGAAATCGTCGCAATGGACATGAAAGTAAACATTTTATCAACTCACATTTCTTTTACATGCTTCCTTTTTTGAGTATTGAGTCCTTATCTAGCGATTGTTTCTGCTGCACAGTGTTATTTCAGCAACGAGGCCTTTATCTGGCTCGCCAACTTTCGTTCCGTGGAGTATCCTTTAACGTTCAAGAAGTTCCTCTTTCTGATGAATTCATCAAGGTCTACGATGATTCTGTGAAGCTTTGGCTAGAATGCCGCCGACAGTTTCAAGTTAGTGGATTGCGTTGGAAGCATTCTGTGCACGATGAAGTTTGGTTCGATTCCAGGTTGTGCTTAGCGCTATGTCAGGCGAAGAACGGTCATCTTGCAAACAACTTTGGGGACAGTTTTGGGCGTGCCATCAAAGATTCTTCAAATATCTCTGCATTGCAGCCAAGGTATTTGAGATTTTGCTTTTTTTCCGACACAGAAAGTCTTTTTTTTCTGAACCTTCTCAGGACCGTTTTTTCCTTGCAATTACATAGTTTTTGTTGGTCATGCTCAAATATAGCGCAGTTTATGGGGGTGGAGTGGATTACTCATGATGAAGGTTCTCCCACCGGACCCGTTTCTGTGGCTCCGAGTAGGAACAATGAGGCAGCGCAGCCTGTAGACGTGGCCCGAAGAAGGTGTATGACTCATTACTGTTGTGTGAGAAATCGTATGCCGCATCATGCTGTTCTTTGCCATAATTATTTCGTGGCTTGACAATAGATGAACGACGTGCAGCCTAGTAGAATGACGCACCGGCAATTACAATGAAGGTTTATATTACGTCGTTATGTCCACTAAGTTGGAACGGAGGTGTTGGATAGGAAGTAATTAGGAATAGCTCCGTTTGTATATGGTGCAAAAGATTTGATAGGTATCGCTGCGAGATGGCGAGTAATCACCGACCGAGTATTGGATACGTATCGAGAAACGCCGGTTACTTCGATTACGTCGGTTATGGTGCAATAGCCATAACCGACGCAATCGAAGTAACCGGCGTTTTCAAAGTTGGATCGATACGCATTTTGTTCTGTCGCCGATTACGTCGGTTACGTCGGTTACCTCGAAGACAGCGATGACGTAGTGTAGTATGAAAGCAGCCTAGGGTTCCTAATGGAAAATCGTCTTTTCGCTGATGATAATCCCGCTTTCGGTCACCTGCCAGCTCCTGGGAAAGGCCAGTGATAGAAACAAGGTCAGCACTGGCATAATCCTCTTTTACGTATGTAGTTCCATAGTGATTGTCAGCTATACCTCGCTGAATCAACAAATTGAACGGTTTCCCACTGATATCGTAGGTTTGGGCATGTGGTCTCCATCCTGGTTCATCATTATAAATCAGACTACTGTAGTCCGTCTCAGAACAAAATGCTCTTGATTGAATTCATCCGCAATACACAATAGCTCCCTTCAGTTCTCTAATGAACGGTGTAGAAGGTTATGTTTATCTACTTGCGTTGGACATTTCGTGAAAAATGCTTGAGAGGAAACTTTTCCGGGATTTCATACGAATTCTGATTTTAATTAGAGAATTCTGAAAATTGATACAAGTATCATAACTCAGCATACGGCTGTGTCGATGGTCATCAAAAATGTTTTCATTTATTCATATTTGAGCGTTTCTTAAGAGTGCGTCAGTTTGACGTTTGCTTTTCATTCTGTATGGTTTAGGTAGATACATGTGTACACATGGCACGGGAAGCTATTAAAGCCAACAAGTGCGTAGTTATTGGGTTGCAGTCTACAGGAGAAGCACGCACGCTTGAAACTCTAGAAGAGATGGGTGGCGAGCTCACCGAATTCGTCTCCACTGCCAAGTACATCATTGATTTGCTCTCCGTCGGGTCTAATTTAGTCCTAACTATGATGGTCGTTAAGGGCTGTACTGCAAGGATTGATTGAACGGCACTTCCCAACGGATGTAGGGACCGTGGACATTTATCGAGATTTCGACCTGGATGATTACGACAGGGGAAGGCAGCGAAGTAAGTATTGTGACTGATAGTTTTAAGGCTACTTAGGTGGTTTGGTTGTGATTATGGTCAAGCACTAAAAGGTAATATGCACATTTAAGGGTATCGGAGAAACAATCACGACTTCATGGACAGTCTTGGCTTTGGATCATCTTGGTCCCGAGACTCACCGAATCCATTCGACGAACCTCGTGTAAGTGGAAGAATTCGAAGTGAACCTGCTTTCCACACTATTGTGAGTGATACCTCATTTAGGCCAAAAAACCTCGAAATGACGAAGATGAGAACTCTACAACTTCTTCGTCAGACGGAGATGATTATGGTGATTTGGACCAAGACTCAGGTCTTGAAGAGGAGCAGGATGGATCGGAAGTGGATTCAAATCTTGGAGGTAAGACTACAATACAATTTATAGAAGCTATCGGTTATTAAACAACGTGTGATAATTAGATAACGGTGATGACTGGCTCAAGGCGCTTCTCGCTGAAGTAGCATCATCAAGTGAATCCGAAGACGACGATCCCACAGACCAACAGCCTGAAACCGCCAATGGAAACGAAGTATGCTTGACATTTTTGTCGTTGCTTGCTGCTTTTGTTTACACCATACAGATTAATTGTTCGCATTTCAAGAGCGGGGCAGATCAGAGAGGTAGCGGCGGAGAAGAAGAATTCAACCCGTTCAATTGTGACTTTACAGGTGAGCCTATTTCTTCCTTTCAAACGATTATATGCGATATGTTGCTATATACCTGATTTTGCCTGAAGGGCAACTCAGAAGTCGTTGCTAATCGAGAAATGTGATTCGCAACGGCTCGAATAAACTGGCTTTGTGAGCATGGCATTTCCTAGCTGGTTGACTCGGTTTACTGCCCGAAGTCTGAGTCAAATCAGCTAGTTTCTAGATCGAATGCCGCGCACGTTAGGCCACTTGCAACTTCTCTTCGCTGCATCCTTGCAACTTGGATCTCCTGGCCTTTGCCATTTCTGTCACGTTGAGATATGCCGCTATATACTGATTCATTCTTGTTCAGACGATCCATGGGCGTCCAAACAGCAGGTTGTGGAAGATTCTCCCAGGAAGCAAAATCAGGTACAAAATGGATTCTTGATGTTCACCACATGTAGCATACTTATTCAGGCGAATCAGTCTCAGCAGTTAGAAGAACTTCGATTGCGACGTCGGGAACGAAGGAAACGACGAAAAAAGCGAATGAAAAAGGCAGCAAGAGAAGCGGAAATGAAGCGCCGTAGAGAATTTGACAGCGAGGCAATGGTGAGTAGCTTGTCGAGGGTTTGAACATATTAGGTAAAGTAAGCTTAATTTTGTTGGTGTGAATTTCTGTGGAATTAATCGTGTTTTTGAAAGATGATTAGATTAGTTTCGCTGTTCATTGCTTCCTATCGGTATACTTACTCTGATTCATGCGATAGACAGGCCCGCATACGCGCATGATAAATAAGTGTATACTTAGCGGGTTATGTATAGAATATGGGATTTTATTTCTAGAAAAAGCTTGTGACTTTCGTTTTCCTGACTCTACAAATTGCCAAAAATTGTTCGAACCTCAATCGCCTGATCAACTGAAAGCCTATGGCGATCGCGTGCCACTGTGGAACAGCTGACTTTCGGAAGGGCATGATTTGTCGCATGATCGAACCTAGTGACTGTATAGCGTGCAATATTGCGGCACTAAATTCTGAAAGTCATCGTTTACACCTCGATAAGAGGGATCGTCAGCCGACAAAAAAGTTTAACTTTGTTATTTTCGAACTATGCACTGAGGCTTAGAGCAGTACAGTAATCATCGGCGACTGAATGGTAACTGGTTCAACATGGGCTTTTTAAGCTTTCCTTACAAGTCACTAAAAGCGTTTTCGCAACTACACAAGGAACCACGCTCGCTAACTGAATGCGCAGGGTGCGAAGGCGCCAGCTTGTGCTAGTGAAGGGAAAGTATCAACCACAGTATTTGGAACTTTTCCCTGGGCGGGAGCTTGGAGCTTTCCATTTTGCAGACGGTTATCTCAGGCTGAGGTAGTGTAGTAGCAAGAGGCACGTTTATCACGCGCGT